AAAGCGAACAAAGCAGCGGATCGATGGGGAATTTAAACCCCATGACCCAATACTCTGTGTATACCCCGAACCAGCCCGGGGGGCAATTGCCAATCATGTTGCGCGTCGACGGCACTGCGTACTCCCAATTGGGGGCAATCCCAACCCGCGAACTATCTCTTCAACGTCATCGCGCGTGTATATCGAGGCGTGATCCGCCCCGCGCAGCAAATTATCATGGGGCGCCGGTTGATCGCCCTACATCTCCGCCCAGTCGAGGACATTGTAGACCGCGCCTATACCACGGAAGCCCAAGCGGCTCACCGCCTCAGTCACCCGCGCAACACATCGGGGCTCTGGTTGCGCAACCGATCTTCCGTGATCACCTCGCCGGATGATCAATACGCCACGACCACCGGTGCCCGACGGCCCACTGGTGCCCGACGGCTCACCGGCGCCCGACGGTCCACCGGCGTCCACGTCGCCGTCGGAATCCCGGACGTCCTCCTCCGACTCAGCTCCCAGGGATGACGCCGCCGCACCCCCGCCGTAGTCCGCCTCGCCGCCGCTGCCATCGTTGCCGGAGTCAGCCAGATCCAGTGAAGGATCAGAAGAAACAGGTGAAAAAGAAGAAAGATTACCTTCTTCGCCTTGTGCGCCCTCAGTCTCGTTGATGTTTGTGCTAGCCATGGCTACACTCCACGAAGATTTGAGGCTGTAGAAGGAGGAGTGAAATCTCGGAGAACAGAAGCGAATGGAAAGAAGAGGAAAGACTAAGAACAACTCAATGGGAGCAAAATGAGAGGAATGCAAACCCCCGAAAGCAGACACCTATTTATAACTACCGACGGGAATGCGAGGGGTTAAAGTGACATGGGGAATCGCAACCGTCAGCTTTTTTCGAATTCAAAACGGCCGCCAAAACCGCCCTATCACACGACGACACGTGGCAGACCACTTAAAGTAGGCAATCATAACGACCATAGATACTAGCCGTTGACGCCACCAGTGCCGCACAACGCCTGGGGGGCATGGCATACCCGCGAAGAAGAAAAAAGCCCAAGAAAACCGCACGAAGATCGCGCAGGCATCACCGGGAAAGCATCGCGGAGAATCCGAAGGATCCCACCCGCGGTCATCGCGCAGTCCCGAGTTGATCGCGCTAAAATCAAACAATCGCGCAAACAGCCGCGCACGCAAATCTGAAGTCAAGAACCGCTTAAACAACCAAGGTAGCGCGCGTGGAGGCAAGGTGATAAAGTGAGGAAGTCAAAAGGACGCGCTCACAGACACGCAGTTAGCACAACCCCAGCAACGAGCGTCGCGCGTAACAAGCACGGGAAAATATCACGAGGGTCCGAGTCTATCAAGCGAAAGGCTCAACAGGTGATGCTCGCAGAGCACCCCCTGCTGGGGGGCAATTGTTGGGCATGTGACTCGGACCTAGCCACGCCAGCGAAACGCGCCAAACACAAGCCCAAATGTCGTCAGACCCGCTAGTGCGCGACGCGATCAAAGACCTCCAGTGCGCCTTGGCGCGAAGAGTTTGAGCGCAGCACAGGCTACGCGCGAATGGAAAGGAACAAGCGGAGCCTAGACCACAGAGCCGCAAAAAGCCCCGTCACGCTTCCCGAGGGATGGTCACATCAGAGTCCTAGATATAGTCATAGGTACACCTCTGACATGTCCTAGGTAGAGAAATGACCTAAATCCCTGAACATGTCAGTGGTCATGTCGCTGTCACCTCATGTAACCCAACCACTCACCCACCACCTTGTAGGCTATAAATACGGCATTTACTCTGGTGGGTGAGGGGATCGTATTTTTCACATTCTATCTCTATACTATCAACTTCTCTCTCTAAAACTTCAACTCTTTGGTTCTCATCTTTCCCATCTTTCTGAAGGATTTTCCCCTCTTGTGTTCTTCTTGACCCACATTCTTCCCCGAACCTCACTCCTACACTCAGTTAGGCTCAAACAATTATCTTATATATTCTTATAGATGAATGGATCTTTTATAATTGAATGGGTTAAATTCGTATTGAAAAAGTTGTATCCTTATTGATTTCACGATTTATTAGATTCATTTAGTGTTTCATAACATGGTATGCGTTGATTATCGTAAATTCTACTACATGAAATTGATATTTTATATTTCCGAATATTTTTTTCATTAAAGATTGACTTCCAATGAAATGTCGAACAAGAAGAATAACCTATTGTTAAGATAAATGTTTCATTATTGCAAACGGAGATGCTTTAATTAGTGGAGAAGATGATGCTTTTGATGGAGGAGCAATCACAAAGAAATCCAAAATGAAATTCTAATACGTACAACAAGGACCAAATAGTGTGGTCTAAATGTTTTTGGGAGTCGTTTTCATTGGATGATTTTCATTTTTTTTTTTTACTTCTGGTAAGGACTTTTATCAATGAATCGGTTATCATGTCAAAAAGATACAAAAACCATGAGAGAAATACCTAAGAAGATACAAACCAGATATATACTGTCTTGATTCAAGGAAGCAAACTCAGTCTTCGTTTGGAAAAGCACTCACCCATCGGTGGGTTTCTCGTTTGCCGCCGACGAGATCAAGCCTTTAATCGGTGATTTCTAGCAGCAAAACAAGACATGAAAGGGATTACAATTCCTAAAAACGAAACCAAAAGTAAAAATAACAACATGCATGTCCCAAATCTTGTCGGATCTAAGACTCCCTCGCCGCTGTCGCTATTGACAAGAAGGGAAAGAAGAAAGTTCGAAGGGAAGAGTGGAATATGATCTTTTCTTTGCATTAGCTCGAGAAGAGTTGAAGGATGAAGATGAGAAAGGTTTGAGAGAGGAAGAGATTTGAGAAGGATTTTTTCCTCTGTTTCTGTTGCTTGTTTGCAAAGGAAGAAGATGGGGAAAGAGAGTGACGGAGGATGTGGACAGCTGAAGAAGAAACCGATGGAATGGGGTTTTTCCCCAATTAGCTAGTAATTAGGGTAGGGTTATTAATTTATTGACAAATTAAAAGAGGGGAAGGAAATTGGAATAGTACTTGACTACTTGGTAATTTAGTTTTATTATTTTGTTGAATTATCCAATTAGTGTAACATAAGAACTTCTTATTTTTAAGGGTAAATACTAATGGAAATTAAAACAGAAATTGATCACCAACGTGGATGCCAATTCAACATCTACTTAGTTTTTTATGGTCTTCATTGTTCAAATTAATTAAATTAATAATTAGGTAGTTTTTTTTATTAATTGGGCGTTGATAGATTTGAGTATAATATCAAGGATTACGAAACCATACCGAAGGTTATACCGGAAAAGTAGGGGATTTTGTATTAAAATCGTGGTTTAACTATAGTAGTATAGTTCAATCATTTTCTACGGCTAAAATTGCCTACTGTTTTGCGATCGATATTCGATATTTCCAGTCCGACCAACCGGAACGGTTGTGTTTTTTAAACATTGTATAATATAAGTTGAATAAATTTTAATTGATTTAGAATGCTTATAAATTATTATAAAGTCTCTATTTTTAAATAATTGATGTGATTAAATCACGATTTTAGAATAAAATACCTAGTCACTAATTTTTTCGGTACAATCTTTGGTGTGATTTAGAAAAAAGTACAAATTTAATTCACAATTCATAAGTTAATAGAATATTAACATACAATCAAATTATTTTACCATTACAGAACTAACAAAATAACATATTAATCACAATTTCCAATACACAGTTTCCTTCCTACTTTCCTCCATAAAATAACATTTTCCTTTCAATTTCCTTCACTTTTAAATCTCCCCTCCCCTCCTAATTTTCCTTCACCTCCTCTCTTTTTCCTCCCTCCCTTCCTCCTTTTTACAGCTAAATGTGAGAGCCGGTGGGCCGCATGATGCGAACTCTTTGTAAGGTGGTCAGCCCATAGCCACAAAATTCAAATCTCTTTTGCTTTTTCTATTTGATTTTATATATGATGAATACATTTACATTCTTGCAAATTTTATTCATCTTGACCGTATAGCTCAGTGGACTAGCTCCTTTGATTTCGGATAAAAACTCCCATTGTGGTAAGTTTTTTTTATAAAGTAGAAGCATCCACATTTGACATTCTACACTTCATAGACTCTATACAAAAATACTTCCATAAGCAACTTGCACCACGAGGCCATCACCATAGTATGTATTGTTCGATTGTCGAAATTGTCTAGTTGAAATTGTTTTTTCCAACTTTAACCTTTTCAAATTATATTATGCATTGAAAAGAAGGGATAAAAGTGACATTTCCATTAAAAAGTGACTTTTCTTTTTATCTAAGGTGGGTCCCGGGACCCACCTTGGCTCGAGAGAAAATATATATGCCTAAATAATAATGATTAAAAATCGTACCAAAAGTTATATCGGTAAGTCAATGGTAGGATATTTTATGTTGAAATCGTGGTTTAATCGTGGTTCAACCATTTCAGGTTTATTTATTATATACCGCCAAAACTTTCTTTTGTTGAAACTCGCTATATTATTTTTATCCTAATAATAAATTCAATATATCAGGTTTTAAACTTCGACTAGATTATTATATGTATACTTTGACTTGAATATAGGCTAGCTATTGTCTAAAACTATATAGAATTAGGAGTTATTTTTCGAATCATGGTAATTGAAAGAAGTAATTTATTGTTGTTGCTAACTAAGGCTCCACTGCAAGTATTGAAATGACATTTTCAATGAGCCATGTGAAAACACTCTTTGGTATCTAATGGGTGACAAAATCATGAATGATTATTGTATAGGATATATTGACATCGATATCATATAAATGCAAGTTCGTCAATATATGAGAACACATTATGGGGCACTACAATTACTCAAAATTTTCTTGCGATATAAAAGATATTCGGACCCACCTTACATAAAATCCTGGCTACGCCACTGAATATGGTTGAATAATCAATTATGACAAGATTTAAAAGGTAAAAAGACAATATATTGCAAAATCTATCATTTTACATTAGGCTAAATCGTCCAATTCCACGTGCTCCATAGATTTGACGTCTCAATAAATTTGGTGGATCGCCAAATCTGACTTCCCCTTACGAGGAAATTAAGAAGCAAATCAAATAAAAAATGACTAGCGCCCATACTAAACACATCGAAATTAGGCAGAGGCTCCTCTGGCTTCATATTCATCCCTCTCTCTGCTCCACTCCCTCTTTCATCATCCACTCCGTACAACCAATAATGGATCTCCACCACCAATCCAACCCCGTCAAGACAAAACAACTCCACAGCTTCCAAGTCTCCCCGCCGGCGGGATCCCTCGACCCTTCCGCCGCCTCTCTTCCAATAACCTTCTTCGACGTCATGTGGCTCAACTCCCGCCCCATGCGCCGCCTCTTCTTCTACGACTTCCCCTACCCGACCCTCCACTTCACCCAATCCACCCTCCCCCTCCTCCGCCGCTCCCTCTCCCTAGCCCTCCACCGCTTCTACCCTCTCGCCGGCAGCCTCGTCGTCCCTCCGCCGCCTCAGCTCCCCTTCCTCAGCTTCTCCCCTGCCTCCGACTCTGTTCCGCTCACCATCGCGGAGGCAGAGTCCGACGTCGATTACGACGGTTTGGTCGGGAACCAGCCCAGGGACGTGAGGGAACTCCATCCGTTGGTGCCGGAGATGAATCCGGGGAAGGTTCGATCCGAGGACGGCGCGAGATTGTCGCCGCTATTGGCGGTGCAGGTTACGGTTTTCCCCAACAGGGGATTGTGCATCGGGGTCCAGTTCCACCATGTGGCTGCGGACGGCATGGCTTTCCACGGCTTCATGAAGTTGTGGGCTGCTCTGCTCCGATCGGCGGCTACTGGTGGTGATGCTGGCGCTTGTGATCAGCTTTCCCTGCCGGCTGATCACCTCCAACACAGGTTTGGTTTTTCGCTAATTGAAAAAGGCTTCGCTTGAGATATTTGTTGAGCCGTCCAGACACTAAGTATATTTTGTCACACGCCGTAGACTTTTGTTGTAACTTGTATTAGTTAGATATTTTCTAATTTAAAATTATTTAATTATTTATTTAATTTTTGAAAGAGGACCCCCTATATAAATTTCATGGCTCTGCCACTGTCTGAATTGATTGGTACGAATAGAAAGCTTTGGTCCTCAATCGGACCAAATTTGGTTACCTAGCTCTTGCATAGAATTTCCTCATTAAACCTTAGCGGATTATGTAAATTTTGTTTTGTTTTGAGATTAAAAAAAAACTATATAAAAAATCAGATTAATTATGCTCTTTAAAATGAAAATTATTTTGAAGCAAAAATTAAAACGTTAATCGAGATATATTTTGGCATTGTATAGCATTATAGTTTATTTTTGTGTGCAAAATATGATTTCACAATTGTATAAAAATGTATCATGATAGAAAGAATGTATCAAAATAGGGAGAGAAAAAAATGTATCATGATAGAAAGAATATACTAGGGTGTAAATTTGTAATATACATAATGGAAAAGATTTGGTGATTAAAGAGGCGTGTCGTGGGACTATGCTTCTTCTAATGTTAAGATTGATTATGTTAAACCATATTAGATCTATGGATAAATTAAAGCAAAAAGTGTTTCAATTCTATTCCTTCGCCTCCTTTTCTTCCTCCGTCCTCTCCGGTTGCACATGTCTCTCACTCGCATTCCCACCATTTTGTCCCTCTTTGGATCGAGTGAGAAAATGGACAAGTAATTTTTTTTTCTCTTCTCACATCAGTACTCTAATTTTTCATTTCAAAATTGCTATCATTACCGTTTTAAAGTAATATATTTAAATTATAATCATAATTTTAGTGTTTGTAACACTAATAACAAACCTTTTTAAAAAAATTATAAATATAATCAGATATGAGGTGCTTGTTTGATAACTATAACTAGATCGATGTTGTCAATTACGTTAACCATATGTTGATTATAAACTCATGTCAAATTGCAAATTGTCATGTCATACCACCTGTCAAATTGCAAATTATAAAAATGTATCATGATAGAAAGAATGTATCAAAATAGAAAAAAAAAAATATACTAGGGTGTAAATTTGTAATATACACATAATGGAAAAGATTTGGTGATTAAAGAGGTGTTGTGTCGTGGGGACCATGCTTCTTCTAATCAGGGGCGGACCCAGGGAGGTTTAGGCGTGTCCCCGGACACCCCTAAATTTTGGGAAAATGATTATTCAACCCTCGGTAGTAATTTACGTATGGACAAAAAAAAATACAATTGATAGTGAGGGACACCCCTTAAATTTGAAAAAATGATTATCCTACTGTCATTTGTGTATAGGAATATAAGTGGTAGGTTGGATAATTCATATCAAGAACACTATTATTATTAATAAACTTAATTTCTGTTGAGCTAAACTCATTTGTTGTTCGATTTTGAACAATGTGTAACAGTGAAATGGCATTCCCTATCTCTAATTATTTTAAAAACCTAATAATTAAACTAATTTCAAACTACCCTTAATTTGTATTGATTTTATGATTGTACGACAAGTGTTGAAAGAGTCTTTCAGCTTTGGGTTACATCAAGAACAAGTTTACAAATCAAATATGCGATAAGTTCGTGAATGATTGTCTAGCTAGTAGTGTATATAGAGACAATTTTTTTAACACTATAGACACCAAGTGTATTCTACAATTATTTCCGAATATGAAAACATATCATGGACTTTTTTAACCTATACGAGTAAGGTATTTTTCATATTTACAATTTTATTTTTATCAATTATTTTTATTTTTATTTAATTTATTTTTTAAAAGAGGACACCCCTATGAAAAATTTCTGGGTCCGCCACTGCTTCTAATATTCAGATTAATTAAGTTAAACCATATTAGATCTATGGATAAATTAAAGCAAAAAGTGTTTTAATTCTATTCCTTCTCCTCCTTTTCTTCCTCCATCCTCACCGGTTGCACATGTCTCTCTCGCGCATTCCCACCTTTTTGCCCCTCTTTGGATCGGGTGAGAAAATGGACAAGTAAAAATTTTGTTTTTCTCTTCTCAGTTCTCACATTAGTACTCTAATTTTTCATTTCACAATTGCTATCATTACCGTTTTAAAGTAATATATTTAAATTATAATCACAATTTTAGTGTTTGTAACACTAATAACAAACCTTTTGAAAAAATTTATAAATATAATAAGATATGAGGTGCTCGTTTGATAACTATAACTAAATTGATATCGTCAATTACACTAACCATATGTTGATTATAAACTCATGTCAAATTGCAAATCGTAATGTCATACCACCTGTCAGCCACATCCTATTTAAATTTCGTTACGCGCTGTCGACAAATATAACGGGATAATTTTGACGTTGTGGGCTGGGTGTTAATTAATGGTCAGGGAACTAATCAGGGGAAAGTACGGCGACCTGGAATCAGCCCTGCTGCAGCAGTGGTTCGACTGGCTGTCGACATGGAACTACAACGCCGGAGCAGCACCCCGGCAGCTCAACCTCTCGAACAAGGTCCGGTCCACAATGGTGATCACCAAGCCCAACCTCGACAAACTGAAAGCTCGGGTCCGAAGCGCGAATCCCGAGCAGGCCCACGTGTCCGCCTTCGTGGTGACGTGCGCTTTGATCTGGGTCACTCTAATCAAATCAGAAGGCGTGGGGGACTCTTCCGACGACCCCGACAGGGTCTACCACCTGGGCTTCTCCGCCGACTGCCGGCGCCGGCTGGGGATCGAGCTGCCGGAGTCGTACCTCGGGAACTGCCTCGGCCCGACGTTTGTAGGGGAGAAGAGAGGGGATCTGGCCGCCGGAGGAGGCGGGTTTTTTAGAGCGGCGGAGGCGATTGGGAGGAGGGTGAGGGAGGGGGAATGGGTGGGAGCGGCGGAGCGGTGGATGCCGACGTGGAGGGAGGTGGCGGAGGGAGGGAGGGCGGTAGTGATTGCTGGGTCGCCGAAGCTGAAGGCGTACGAGACGGATTTCGGGTGGGGGAGGCCGAGGAAGAGCGCGGTGGTGCAGGTGGATAGCTCGAGGTCGGTGGCGCTGTGCGAGAGCGGCGATGGGAGCGGCGGCGTGGAGGTTGGTTTGGCTTTGGAGGAGAATCGAATGGAAGTGTTCGCCAAGTTGTTTGAGGAGTTCGTTGGACAACTTTAAGGGTTCTAGACTTCTAGTACGGCTTAATTGCAAGTTTGGTCACTCGAATTGCTACAAAATTTCATGTTTGGTCACTCGAATTGATTAATTCCATTCGTAGTCACTTAAATTAGTTGAACAGTCCAACTTTAGTCACTCTCCGTTAACCTCCGTCAAACTCCGTTAGTATCGTCAGTTAACTGCTGACGTGGCTAACAGAGGTGCTTAGTCATCCTATTTTAACAAAAAAAAAAAAAAAACATGCCACATCATTAACCCCTCAATATTTTAAAAGTCCACCCAAACCCAATCAACCCCTGACCCGAACCGAACCCCTAAACCAACCCATTCACCTGTTCCCCCTCTCCTTCCCCCCTCTTCTTCCCCAGCTCCGACCCGAATCGCCATTACTGCCACCAAATCATAATCCCAGATCTACAGCGATATCCCGAGATAGAGAGAGCCGGCAAGATTGAGTGGGAATGGAGGGAGACGCGATTCCCAGATCATTCGACGGTGATGGCTTTGGACACAGACCTTGACAGCGACAGACAAGGTGTGAAAGAAGGCTAGCCGGGAAGTTTGTCCCGATTTCGTCTACAACTCTGCTAGAGTGATAGCTATCCGGAGTAGTTCAATTCCCCATAGCTCTCTCTCGTCTCCTCGCCATCCCTCACAAGGGTAGCCGTATCCGGAATCAGATCCTTAGGCGCAGAAAGTACCTCAATTGCGTTTACGAACCCTAATTTACCCTTCTGGGTTGGAACAATCGTGATAACAAGCTTGTTCTGACTAACCCAGACCAAATACTCCTTTACCAGAGTGTCTGATACAGTGAAGTTGCTCAGAGCAACATAATTGTCAACCAGGACGTGGAATCGGGCCTCTCAGATCAAAATTGGAGGAAACGAAAGGGTCGAAATGGAGGCGTACCATGTGAGTTCCGGGCTCCTTGATCTCGACCGCGTATCTGGAAGGTTTCCTGAAAACCCGAGCCAATTTCGCCAATGGCGTCGAGCTGAATCGAAAGTAATTAGAAATAGAAAACCGACATTAGAGAGCAGGGGGAAATGAGGGGGGGGGGGAATTTACTTGACGAAGAGCTGGAGCGTGGGGATATCGGCGCCATAGATTTTGTTCTTCTGCTTGACTTGAAGGTGGCCGAGGAATCCTTCGTCGTGAGTTTCTTCAATGGAGATTAGGCGGTAGCCTTGGCCGATTTTTGAAGTGGAGGAGGAAGAAGAGTTGGAAGAGGCGACAGCGCCATGGAAGCAGAGGAGGAGAAGGAGAAGGATTGTTGAAGGGGAGTGAGGAGGAGAGAGCAACTTCATCTTCTTCTGCTACTTCCCTCTCTCAGTAATCACTGAACTACTGCTGTGCTTCAGTGGTTGGCAGTAATGGCGATTCGGGTCGGAGCTGGGGAAGAAGAGGGGGGAAGGAGAGGGGGAACAGGTGAATGGGTTGGTTTAGGGGTTCGGTTCGGGTCAGGGGTTGATTGGGTTTGGGTGGACTTTTAAAATATTGAGGGGTTAATGATGTGGCATGTTTTTTTTTTGTTAAAATAGGATGACTAAGCACCTCTGTTAGCTACGTCAGCAGTTAACTGACGGTACTAACGGAGTTTGACGGAGGTTAACGGAGAGTGACTAAAGTTGGACTGTTCAACTAATTTAAGTGACTACGAATAGAATTAATCAATTCGAGTGACCAAACATGAAATTTTGCAGCAATTCAAGTGACCAAACTTGCAATTAAGCCCTTCTAGTACTATAGAATGTTGTTACGAAGAAGTTACCTATTTGGTCACACGGTATGAAGAAGATACCGGTTCATGGTTATACACCCATCAATAATTAAATTTGGACAATTCATTTAGAAAATTCAAATCTAAAGATGGAGAATTAAATGTCATTTTTATTTTCCCTAGCTTTCTTAATCGGCTCATATCTTCTTCGTTTTAATTCGGATTTTAATTTTTTTTGCACAGATGGATCGAGTTCGTTGTTCTCTACAAAATGAGATGAATTTTCAATATTCTCTCGGTACCAACTGCATACCATATGGTATCTTCTTTGTTTTTAATTCGTTTTTGAAAACGTTTGCACAGAATGAACGAGTTCATCATGATCTATTGGATCTACAGATTTCTGGGTGAACGAATTACAGGACCAAAAAATACCACACAATACCACCCTGGTACGGGGTGGTATCTTGTGGCACACAATGTTAAAAGTCGTAAATGACAGTTAATATACTTCTATTATCATGTATTCAACCATCCTACAGTCTTGGTTTGTTCATACCACCATGGTACGCTTTTCAAACCATATGTATGTTCTTATTTCAATACCAGTCAATACCATATGATATAGACTGGTAAAAAATGACTCAATTTTTTTGTTCGAAAAATATATCAAAGTGGATATCATTTTGAAGAGCACAATTAATATGATCTAACTGTGCAAAAAAAAATTAAATTTCGACTTAAAACGAGTGAGAAATCGTCCGTCAAAAATTAAGGAGGGGAAAATTAAAGGCTTTCCAGGAGAGAGATGATGATGTCATGCTGATGTTGACGGGTTACTCATGATTACTCACCATAAGGTTACTGATCTGATCCGTTCTCGAAGATACCCAATAATAAGGAAATTAATATGAAAGACACAAAAGGGCATAAGCACGAATTTGGTTAGGAGAATATTTGATATTTGAGGTGGTAATTATGTATCAAATACACTAATCCTATCCAAACCACCAACTAAAATATCAAATTAATCTAATGTTTTGATTGGTGGATTCATTGATATTTGAACAGTTAAAGTTTAGTACTGTACTTTTCATATTTAAACTTTTTTACCTCAAATATTATTTTGATAATATTAGTTCTTAACCTGGCCTTGGTCTCTAGTTAGAACATTTGGTAAGCACCTCTCTTTCTATCACCTTCGCTAACAGTAAAAGATCAACTACCAGAGACCAAGGCCAGATTAAGAACTAATATTAATTGTTGCCTGATATAAAAAGACACATATATTTTTAATGAAATAGGCTATGTATTCTCATAATACAGATACATTATTCACATAACAGAAATACCATATTTCTATAAGAATATGATATTTGTATATGCGTTATGAGAATACGATAATTGTATTACGTGAATATGTTATATATTTTAGAAGAATATGATATTTGTATTACGTGAATATGTTGTTTTAATTACTCTCATAAAAATATTGTATTTGTGTAATGAGGATATGAGGTGAGCTCTTCTACTGGCTAAGATCGCGTGGCATGTTCATACGGAGCCAGACTCGCTCATGTCTCAAATCTATAAAGGTAAGTATTTTCCGCATGGGTCAATTTTCTCGGCGAGGTTATAGGTATAATATGCCCCTCTACTATGTCATTTTATCATACATGCCCCTCTACTATTTTTTACGTCAAACATGTCCCTGTACTTTGGAAAAATGATCAAACACGCCCTTCTGTTAAAATTTTCATCCAAAAATCGTCAACCATGGTCGAACCTTGGTTTGGGCAACACAAAAATCTAAATTATCTTTGATAATTTCACTTTAGAATTGTTTGGATTCTTTTGTAGTGCCAAATACCTCTAATAATTTCACTTTAACAAGATCTAGAGAAATAAATCAAGGGAAAAAACTGACATTTTCCCTCCCATTTACTGATGTCGAATCGTCTAAATCTTGGTTCAACCATTATTGACGATTTTTTAATGTAAATTTAACAAAAGGGTATATTTGATCATTTTTCCAAAGTATAGGGGCATATTTGATGTAAAAAATAGTAGAGGGACATGTTTGATAAAACTGCATAGTAGAGTGACATATTATACCTATAACCCTTTTTCGGCGACTGCCAGATCTCGACCTTCGTGGGGATGACAAGGTATTCTCTATGGATGTCAATTGCTTAAACAACGCATGGCCGCTCAGGTAGGATCGGTATCATTCATACCGATTGTGTCGGAAGGGTGGATCCCATCTATCTACGCTCAGTGTCCGCAAGTGCGACCAGAGGCTACTTGGGCGGAATCGAGCCTGGTTTCTGCGTTGATTGACCAGGACAGAGGTGAATGGTGCAAGGTGTGTTTAGATTCGTCATTCTATCCGGAAATGGTGCGTGCCATTCTAGAAATTCCTTTGTCGCGGAGTGCTATCCCTGATAAGTTGGTCTGGAGGGAGGACCCATCTGGGGTGTATACGGTCAAATCCGGATATAAGCTAGCTGAGCGAAAGTCCCGATTGGTGGGGAAATGGAGACAAGAATGTAGCTCCATGGATCGAAACTTCTGGATTAAGGTATGAGAGTCCCATATTCAACCCAAGCTAAAGTTTTTTGCATGGGAAATGTTTCAAAGACTTTTGCCGACGATGGAGGTGCTATATGATAAGAAGGTCCCGGTTTTGCTCTGATGCCCGGTGTGCTGGCCGGAAGAGGAAAGTACAGAACACTTGTTTTTACACTGTCTTGTGGCGAAAGCTCTGTGGGTGGAGGCGAGATTGGCCATGGAGCTCCAAACATTGCCGACTGTGTGTTTCAATTATTTATTCGACGATTTTTGGAGCGGGATTCCTCTCAACCAAGGGTGGTGCACCTTTTTTGCCTGCTATGGAGGATTTGGAAGGCTAGAAACGAAGTGGCCTTTCCGGGCAAACAGACTTTACCTAGTTTACTTAGACTCCAGTTTCAGGTTCATGAATGGTTGCAGGTACCGGAAGGAAGGGGAGCAGTCCTTGAGATGGGTGCGCCAGCGGAGATGGTTGCGATAGTCGAAGCGGATAAGGGTGTCGTGCAACTAGTGTGCTCTTTTGATGGGGTGGTTTGCTCGGGATCACATGCGTCGGTGGGGTTGGTGTTGAAGGACAAGACTAATTTAGTGGTGGAGGCTCGAGGGGGGTGGTATGCTGAGCTTCAGAATCCTTGTTGATTGAGGCTGTGGCGTTGCGGGATGCAATCAGGTGGTGTCAAGAAAAGGGTCTTTCTGCAATACGGATTGAAGGGGATGCGAAGATTGTTATTGACAAAGTTAATGCTGGTGCAGTCTGCGATGCTGTGGGTGGAGCCTTGCTAGAGGAAATTCGTCAGTTGCTACTGCTTGTGCCGGGTTTTCATATTTGTTTTATTGGTAGGTAGAACAATAGGGTGACCAATGCATTCAAAAGCGCGATTCTACCTAGAAGCGGAAAAGGGATAAAATCGTAAAGCGTAGAATCAAAGCGTAAAAACGTAAGTTTTTGAAGCATACTGAAAAATAACTAAAAATCTATTAAGTAGGACATATGATATGCAAAATATGAATGCACAGATAAGTTAATAAATACATGCGATTCATGCCTAAAGTAGAATAACTTATAGCATCTTAATAATAAGTTCGTAAACATAAATTTTAACAATAAGCCACTTTTCCCTCTATGCTAATGAATTTGGGAAAAGCCTAGTTGGTGAATTAGATTACTCTATTGAAGTTGAATGCATCCAAGTACCTGATATGTATCTTCTAATCTCAAATGTATCATATTGTTAGTGATTTACTTTTAAAATATACTTTTTATAATTAATTTCATGAAAAGAATACTCATTTAGTGAACTAAAAGCGTAAAGCGTTTTGATGAACTAGAAGCGTAAAACCGTAAGCTTTTAAGCTTTAAAGCGCGATTTAGTCTGATTTTATACACTTAAGTTTTTATATGGAAACGAAAGCGTTTTGGTGACCTAAAAGCGTAAAATCGTAAGTTTTTAAGTTTTATTTTGACTGCATTGAGGGTGACAAGAAAAGTCCTGTATCCTACAAGTTGTACTAGTTTTGATTTTAGAGCTTGGCTCTAGTCGGAGTTTGAAACGATGTAACTTGGTGTTCTTGCTAATATAAGTGAGCTTTTTGTCAACAAAAAAGATATTTGTATTAAGTAAATATGTTATTTGCTTTAGAAGAATATGATGTTCAAATAGTGGAATGGTCAATCCCGATCCGCACCATGTAAAATAGGATGGTCCGTACCAGGTCCGACCATGTAAAATAGGATGGTCCATACCGAGCTGAGGGGAAGGGAGGAGAAATTCATTAAGGGCATTTAGCACTTTTTATATCAATTTAGGGTGATAATTAGTAAAAAGTAGGGCGGTGAATAACAATCCCATGAAAGTGAAAAGTGAACTTTCAAATTCTCCCACTTCTCTCTAAAATTTTCCCTTTCCAAACTCCAATTGGGGGCCGTCGATTCACCTTTAGGTGATCGGTGGCCACCCACTCCAGTTTCATTTCTGATTTTCCTTTGCTTCATCTTCTTTTCTTTCATGCTTTGTCAATCCCTTTGTGGATTTATGAATTTCTACACTGCTATCCCTAAGTGGATTTTGCCAAAAACCTATCTCTTGAGATGGTTTTCTTCCACACCTCAAATCTGAGTCTCAGATCTTGTGGTCGTTCTCTGTGTGCAGAGGGAATTGCTTTGCAATTTACATCTTCTTTCGTGACTTTTAGAGCTGTCCACCTTGCTTCACTCAGAATGGCGTAGTGATTCGGTGGTTTGGTTTGATGCCTCTTGGTTCTACTGTCATGTGGGTGGGTGTAGGGATGCTGCCTCCTTTTCGATCTCTTGCTGCTCTGCTCATGTATGCTGTTTGGCCTTGGATTGGTGGTGTTCGTGAATAGCAGGTGATGGGGGTGTTGTTTTATCTCTGTTCTTCTCCTTTTGTGGGTGGTGGTTGTGGTTTGCGGTGGCTGAGGTGGTGTGGTTGACGTGCGTGGTCTGGGGGCAACGGTGGCGGTGTGTGTCAACGGGGGGTTGAGGGAGTGGATCTTTTCCCCTCTTTGATCCTGTTGGCTTTGTTGGTGGTGGATTGTTTTTCCTTCCGTTTGGTGGCGGCGTGATGATGGGAGTGCAGAGGCAGGGTAAGGGTTGGTTGTTGGCGGCTATTTGGGCCAACAAGTAGGTGGCTGGTGGTTTGGGGTTACTTTGGGCTAGGGTTGTGTTTGTGGGCTTCGTTGGAGTGGAAAGGCTGTTGGGTTCTTGTGTGTTGTTGGACTGTGGTTGTTGTGTGTATTTTCTGTTTTTAGTTTTCTGGTGGGCTTCTGTGTTTGGTTGGGGTTTGCATTGTCGTTTGGTCAGGCTTCTATCTTTCTTTGACTACGGTCTAAACTCTGTATCACTTCCCTATTTCGTAATGAAATCAGGTTTTCGTCAAAAAAAGAATAACAATCCTCATTAGGAATGGCAATGGGGCAGCTCCGGGGCGGGTATCACGGTACCCGTACCCGCCTCGTGGCAGGTCGGGTAATTTATCATGGGTCGCGGGTCAGGGCAGGTTGACCCAATGAGTATGCAATTTATATGAAAAACATTAGAAATATTCGTTAATTTCATTATAAGGCCAAGAAAACAAACCATATTATGATAAATGTAGTAAAATTATAGTAAAAATTGAGGTTTTCACTTATTTATAACTTTATTATAGCTTAAAGATTATGTAATAAAAGGAAAATCCCAAGTAATTTGACTAAGATTACATGTAATTTAGTCAAGAACGGGTCGAGAATGGGACGAGTCAGAGTAGGTTGGATCGATAAGAGTACCCATGCCCGCCCCACCACAAAACAAGTCAAACAATTCAAATAAAACGGGTCAGGTGGAAATTGTAATCCCTACTCTCATGAGATAACCCATGTTTTTCATTACAAATTTTTTCCCAAGAACTCGCCATTAGTTGGACCGATTCGTGACTCGTCTAGATGGGAAGCGTGAAATAAACAGCTGATCGAACCGCGGGGCGTAGGCCATTCGTTACCAATAACGCTGCATTGGTGATTCGCCATTCTGCAAATTTTGGCAGATGACTTTCGTCGAGCAGTTGGCCTTCCCTTTTCAGCAATGGAAACAGCGGACTACAAGCTCCTGCTCACCTGCCCATCTGGACTCTCGCCATCTCAGGTTCTTTTCCCCTTCATCCTTTTGGATGTAATGTAGCTAGCAGGTTGCACTCAATATAATACTGATTGTGGATTTTTGGTTTCCGTTGGAGCAAGTTGGCCGTGGTTTTTGATCGATCGTACGATAGAATCCCCCATCCGAACGCTGAATTGGAGGACTCCATAGGCCAAGTGAGTTCTTATAATCTATGTTGGGGCGATGAGTGCATGCGTTGTTGTTTGTTTGAGACTCTCCGTTGTAGACTATCACGGTATCCGCCCTCTTTTAATATAACTACATTTCAGTTTTCTTGATTGCGTTATAGCCAGAGCGGTAGCTTTTGGTGAATGCTCATTGAGAGAGCCTTTCTTCCAATCTCTGTGTCAAATCTGTAGACAAATCAGTTGCGCAAAAATTGTGACTTTCACTCATTTACTGTGATCTTCATTTGCTTGTAGATATGGGAAGACAGAATTCAGAGCAATTCATCTTTATACAATGGGAAGAAGTTCCGGGTATGTCGATGATTACAAGTTTACTGATATCTTTTATGTCCTGGCTCGCTGATGAATGTTGCCGTACAGTTCGTCTAGGTCTCATCAGAGAAGTGTACCCATTTCATAGTTATAGGCTATGCGACAACTTCTCTCTGTGGGAAGCTGGAACTTACGGAATCCACTTACCTTATCAAAACTGAGAGCATTGGAGGATATAGTTATTAGATGACCCAACTAGTACTTTATTATGCCAATTGGTTTTGCGAAATTTGAATCTTGCAGGAATTTGGAAGGAGGCACGCTTTCTAATTCTAATTTATTGTAATCTGTTAGCTTTCACTTGGAAACTGTCTACCTGACAAACTACTCTGGAAAACTTAACCTATTCTACACGTTGCATTCCCTTATGGCTTGTAACTTCAACTAGATGATTACCACCCTTGAGAAATCAAATCTCCTTTGCAGTTTATCTCTATGCTTCTGAACTAAATTTCAAAACAAATGAGAGGGCACATGAAATGAAATAATGCATTAGTGTGACTGTATGAGAACAAGTTAAGCGCTTATACTTTTAGGCAGATTGAAGGTCCGATGAGCTGATGTTGGTAATGCGTTCTTGTGCTCATATCCTGGCAGTATGGCGGATGTAGTCTTCAGGATGGTGGTGAAGCTAGAGGAGTTTCTCAAGCATGCCTCCACCTTGGCTCGACAGATTATCGGTCTCTTTCCCTCCCTCCTTCCCTCTGTGTGTTAAATTATTTTTTGTAAAAAATTGAACTGACTTATACGATATCAGATGGTCAATTATGTAACAGTTAAACAGCTATTCATCCAACTGCAAAAGATAAACGTTGAAGTCTTTTAGCATGGATTGAGCTTTCGCTGTTATCTGTGAGCATGGACATAACTCTTCTGCTTGCAAAACACGTTAACAGTTTTTATCGTTCACAACTGCAAGTCGAAAATTCCTAGTTTCTTGATCTGCTCATCCGTCAGCTCTTTCACTTGTTGGTCAATGAATGATGAGGCTAGCCTTGATGTGATATATGCAGACCATGGGTGTGGTTCAGTGTCAGACTTTTGTTTTCCTTTTTAGTGTTTGTTGATGAATGAATTATGTTTAGGCTATAGCTGTCATGTTGCTGATCATATTCCTCATCAACTAGTTTTGATTTTTGAGTCCTCCCTCCCCTTTTTCTTCAGATCATACTTTAGTTTTCTTCTTAGTGCTGTCCAGATGAACTGAAACTATTAGCGAGAATCTCTAATTGATGAATTTTCTTCATGCATATAATGGTTTCTATGTGCATCATTGTTTTTTTCTTCATGGAAAAAATTTAATGCTATCAGCATCTTTCCCAGGACATTTGTCGGGACAAACTTGAATCCTTTGTGGGAAAATTTCCTTGCACCATCTGAAGGTATTTGCAGGCATCAATTTTTCTTCATCACAGAAGTGAATTGCTTTTTCTAATGTTTTTAACCTTGGAAACAGTTGTTTATGATCTTGGTGGTTCTCACTGTAGAGGATGTGATAAAGTGCCAACATACAGCAAGTCCACTGGGTAATGGCGCAATTGTGGTAACCGCTGACAATGAAATTGTTGTGTTGAGAAGAAGTGATAATGTTGGAGAATTTGCGGGACATTTAGTTTTTCCTGGAGGCCATCCAGAGGTAAGAATTGCTCAAATTTGTGATTAGTTCTTCTTTTCTGCTTTGACATTTTTTTCTTGCATAACACATTCCAGTACCACAAAAATTCAATAAATGTAGTTTCCACTCTAGTTTATTTCCGTTGGGTTTGGTAGTTTGTGTACGGTGCGGACAGCACTGATGTTTTCTAGTATTTGACCAATGCACAGCCTGAAAAAGTTGAAGTAGCATCTAGTCAAAATGGTCAGGATCCTGTTGTCACAACTGAGGAACTCAACAAGAAGGTCTCTGAAGAGATGTTTGACAGTATTTCTCGTGAAGTAGTTGAAGAAATTGGAGTACCTGCAACGTCTCTTGTAAGTTATCACCTCCTGCAGAGGCATTCCCTGTGGGATTGGATATTGCTCAGCAGCTGTTGTTTTTCTGCTTGTTCAATTTTTTCATGAACAATTTATCTAAATTGCCTTCTCCTCTTATTTTTTGCAGACAACTCCAGTTTTTATTGGTCTCTCTCGCAGGATCTTGAATGTCAGACCAGCTGCATTTTTCTATATGAAATGCAACCTGCCATCCAAGGAAATCCATCAACTGTACTCTAGTGCTCTAGATGGCTACGAGTCAATCCAACTTCACACGGTCTCACCGGTTAGTTCAATCTACACTGTTATCTCTACAACTAAGTTGGTTCCTTGTGCCCTGTGAAATTATAGAAGTATCACTTCCAGTTAGTTCCATCTATAATCAATTAGTTTTAGACTTAGAAATTGGTGAATACTCTGCTTGCTCATAAATTTTGCTATGGATCTTTGCATATTAGGTGATTTTAGAACACATGAAAAGTAAAATGCCTGGCTGTCATCAAGGTGGATTTGCGCTTTATAAGCTGATGATTGAAGCTTCGACGAAAGTATAGCTGATTTCCCCCACAACATAAAAGGAACTGTCCTCCTTCTGATGATACTGGAATCCTCAGCTGCGGCATTCATTCTGAGTAACAACCCCCTTCAACTTGGTATCGAAACTGCCACAAAGCTTCAGAACCAGGACTCGCCTTGTATTCTCTTTTATGTACGCATACTTGAACATGCTAATGCAGAAGTGTTTGTAGTTTGTTACTGCAAGCAGAGGGCTTTGAAGCCACATTTTTGTTTAACTCTCCAGTGAAATGTGAAACTTTATTCAAATTTATATAAATTTCAATTATACTTGCAACAGTCAAATTTCTGGTCTAGTTCTGTCTGATATAGTACATCTCACTCTCTTGCTTGTGTTTTAGCCATGCTTTAAACTGTCCTCACAGGGAAGCAATGCATAACGTAGAATGTCTTTGTAGAATTATTGATGATGATATTCATAGCTAAAGCCTAGTACTGCAGTTAATCAATTTTATCATGCGACTCCCATAACATCCGAAAGCTCCTTTATGGATGGAGTCAGAGTCTGCTATGTTGGTAGCCAGTAGCTACCGGGAAGGTACGCCCATCTGCTCAAGGGGCCTCTGAAGTTGAATAGAGAAAGAAAAACTGATGATAGCGAATCATTTTGACTATAAAATTGGCCTATGTGCATGCCATGGCGATTCCAATGAAGATATTTGGTCGGCTCAACTATCAGGGAGAAGGGTAATTTCATTGCTGAAGCAAGTTTTAAATGTGCCACTGTAAACTGCAAAACAATGAAAACATTCTGTGCAGTTGTATATTGTATAGTTCTTCTTGTTCTGTTGTGGAGAAGCTTGCAGGGATCAATCAGTAGAGAAATTTGATGCCTGATCAGTGGATTGCTGGGTGGAAGTTGGAGCTTGCAAGGAAGAGAAGAACAAACCCAGCCTTTTCGGGAACATCACGTGCAGGTATATTCTACTATCTCTGCAGCCTGCAACCTGCAACCTGCTACTGCTGGATGTAGTCTCTCCTTGTATTGTAGTTAACAAGTATAAGGTTGTCTGCGGTAAATTCGTTATTCCTAAACACATCATATCATTCTGGTTAGTGATGCTTGATGTAGTAGTTACCAAGGGCTAACTGGTTTACGGGGGAACCTTCTCATAATGCTTGTGTTTTATGCCCTGGGCCTGGTGGAATTGAAATCCGAAATCACTTATTTGTGAACTGCTCCTCTTACACTGAATTTGACTTGAAAGGGTGTTTCGCGCTTCTAGCACCTATTGGGACCTGGATATATTGGATAACCTTGTCGAGTTGGTCGATTCATCAACGACAAAGTAGTAATACCTGCTTACGCACTGGCAAGCTGATTTAGAGCAAGGTACTTAGTCATACATTAAGGAAGAGGTGCAGAAGGGTGTTTGGAGATGGATTGGCTATCCCTCCTCTTCAGCTGGTGAATAGGATTCAGTCTGAAGTCCAAGCAGTTGTTGTTGGCAATGTGAGATGTGTTCTGGAGTTGCAAGCTTTGGACTTGTTTGTTTTGGTTCTGTTATTACCATTGCCCATATCCCAACTTCCCTCCCTCCTAGTTTTATTTTCACCTCTCAAACTCAGGGTCGTTTGGATGTGGAAATGTAATACAGTAACTGTACGCAATTACCACATAATGCAGTAATTGGGTTAAAAACCCACGTTTGGCAGAGCAAGAAGGGTATGGGAATTGGACCATGGAAATTGGCTCCAATTACCACATTCATTGTAATTGAGAATACTACATCTCCCCCTAGTAATTTGACATTACCACGTTTTCTTCCTTCTATTTCCAAATGTGTCCTTATGTCCTTCCTCTCCTTTCTTTCTTACTCCTCCGATTTCGCCTAACTATTTCTTACAAGAGTAGCTCCTTTTTCTTCATTCATCAATGGCACCTCTTCTTCTTCATCTCCCCTCACCTTCGTATATCTCCTCTAATCCGTCGTCAATTTCTTAATTTTGGATTGGCTTAATTATCTCATTCACCGTCAATTTTCTTGCTTCTCCTCATTGAATTCGCATAAACACTTTTAATATCCGTATTTAATAAATTAAATTGTTAACTTTATTATAATTTATATATGTACTTATTATTCAAATAATTAAGTTTATATATTTATGGCTTTTAATGTACTATTAAATGTAATATTAGCTTAGAGATGAAGTAAAATAATCGTACGTATTTTATACGTAACTTTTCCATATCATATTTTTCTAACTATGCTTAAGTTAGCAACAATTAGTAGTTAGTATAATACAACAACAACCTTTAGGAGGGGTATATGTATATAAACAAAAGAGGGCATTTTTGTATTTTTACCAAATTCCACACCATCAATTCTCACAAAACTAAACCCTATCCAAACGTGGAATTTTGTTCAATTTCCACAAGTCAATTCCTTGGTTTTGTAAAACATGGAAATTCATACAAATTCTCACGTTTTCAAATTTCCACATCCAAACGACCCTCGTTCACCTCCATCGCTCTCGCCAAAGGTAAAATATTTCAATCTGCTTTATGAGATTTTGATATTTATTAACTTTCCCTGTTACTTTTAGGCTCTTTCTCTTTTCTAGAGGATTGTTATTTGCCGCCCTTAAATTAAACTAAAATTACAGTTTTGCCCTCTAGAATCTCTTTATATTCTATTCCTTGGTTTGTTTTTTAAAGAACCCACACCACCACCGACCACCGACCCATAAACACCATCGCCGGAGCCATGGTGGCGAGCGCAGAACCACCATCGCCAGCCAAAGTCGCCGGCGAGCGGACGGCAGCCGTCAAGAGGTAACCTCGTTACCGTAGTTGTTTTGTCTCGTCCGCCAAAAGGTGTCGGGCGGTTATTTTTCGTTCGACGCCAGCGAGCGGACGACGTCCGACATCAACAGGCGGACCCCTCCGACAATAGATTGCGGACCCCGTCCGACCGGTGCAGGTGGACCCCGTCCGACTCAGGCGAGCATACGGGGTTGACACAATTTTATTTTTTGTATTTTGATATATATTTATGTTATTGTTGTTTTAGACTTGGTTGATGTTGATGTTTATGTTTATTTATTGTTAAATTAATTACACATGGTGTTAGTTATGTTTATTTTAGAGCTAATAATTTAGATTTAATTTATTGCTTTCAGTTTTATTTTACATAGTTAATTTCTCGTATATAGTTTTAATTAAGTGATTGTGTTTTGTTGTAGCGCTATAATGTTTATTGTGTTTAGTTTTAATTCGTAGAGCTAATTTCGTTTAATAATTTATATTTAATTAAATTGCTTATGATTATTTTGTAGAGTTAATTAAATTATTGTGTTTAGTTCTATTTTGTAGAGTTAATTGATTTTAATATTAATTGATTCATTATTTAGTTGTGTTGAATCATATAATTTTTCTCTCTCTAACGAGTTGTAAAATCATAATTGCAGGTGAACATGGCTTACAACGTAGAACTAACAGACTACACAGACTATTTCCTCAATGACGTCCGATTGCAAAGATGTTGTAATAGTGACAAAAGACATCGCGATGTCTCTTGGTTTCTTACTAACTAAGGACTCGATGAAGCCAGTGAGTTGTGTAACAAAAGAAAGCTAGGTATGTGTTATATGTATTGCGACAGATGTAGTAGGGAGAGGAAGTCATACAAGCCGGATCCTTCCAAGGAGAGTCGTGACAATACTGGTTCAAAATGGACTAATTGCATGTTCAAGGTTAAAATAAAAAAACTACTTGTTGATCCAGATGCTCTTAATGGACTAACATTCTAGGAGATACAAGAAGTGATTGAGCAAGAAACCGGTAGGAGGCGAGGGTATCACAATCATGAGAAGATGCTTTCTCCGGAGGGCCACAGTCAGATGAAGAAATTTAGTCAGGAGGATAAAGAATCTCAGAAGCAGATGAGAGATGCTGAGATATCTCCGACGCAACAGAAGCAGACAATAAACATGCAAAAGGGTGACAAAGGGCATCACACCAACAAGCAAATGTATAACCTCGGGTCCAAGTCTAGGAGAGACGACATGGACGAGATGAATGCAGTTCAGTATGCATTGCAAGGAGCTGAATATGAGAATTATCATATAGAGGTTAATGAAGGACGATAACGACGTGTTGACCCACCTTTTTTTTGCCCATCCAACTTCCATCCAGATGTTGAAGGCTTGGTCGTACGTGATTCTGATCGACTCAATGTTTAAGACCAATGCGTATAAAATATCATGGGTGGAGGTCGTAGGTGTTACTCCCATTGGTAAGAATTTCAATATACGTTGTGCTCTCATGAAGGAGGAGACAAAAGAGTCGTATCATTGGTTGTTGGTGTGCATAAAACAATTGCTCCATCCACGCGTGCCCACTGTCATCATCACCGACCATGAAGGTGGACTACTTGCTACAGTTTATGGTGTCTTCCCCTACACACCGCATTTGCTATGTGTTTGGCACATCAACACTAATGTGCAGAAGAAGTTTTTGGAAATATTTGGGAAGGACAAGATTGATTTGGTCAACGATGCTTATGATCACGGTTGGTGTCCTATGCTTTATTCTTGGTTCGAGCAAGTCATGTTGGCCGCGTTTGGCTGCTTTAGGGCGAGATGGAGCAATGACAATCCACGTCTGTTGCAATACATACAGGGAGTGTGGTGGCCGCATCGAGAGAAGTGGGCAGTTTGTCATACCAAACATGTGTTTCATCTAGGAAATACGAGCACAAACAGGGTTGAGTCATCACATTTAGCATTGAAAACTTTCCTTCACAACTCGCGGAGGTCTATAGACACTGTATGGAAAGAAAACCAACGCTACATTACTAACCAACTCGGGGAGGTTAGGATGATGTTGGAAAACTCTCGACAGAAAACCCTTTCAGCAGCTGACGGTACACCTTTCACATACTTGAGGAGGAGGGTCAGCACGCAGGCAATTACACTGATGAAGGAGGTTGAAGAAGATTTGGCGGCCCGTTTGGAAAAAAATGAGAACTCCTAATGTGCATGTCATTTCTCTATGACACACGAGATACCGATGCCCCCTGTACACTACATGTGGGAGGGTGCTAGACAAGATAGCGTCATTGGATGGGATAAATATTTCGAGCAGTTTAGTCAACTGTGGTTAGATCTTGGGGTTGGCCAGTCAAACGGTCCATAGCGCAAATCCAAGAGGGTTCAAAAAAATAAATTTGTAATAAAGAGGGAGCCCGATGTACTCATCTTCAATAATAAAAACATCTAGTTATCTCAAGTTGCTTACGTCACAAGAAAACATGTTGGTTTTACTACATGATATAATAAAA